AAATATAATGAGAACAAAAAACTCCATTAGAATTATTAATGAAAAGAAAAATAGTAAAAATAAATAAATTGTTTTTGGGGCTTTCCTTTTTTTAAAATACCGGAACTATGCAATAATATTCATTTAATTAAATTTCTTTTATAGCAAATTCCCTTTCCTATTTTATGCTACAATTATGCAACTAAAAATTAATTATGAAAAAAGGATATTTTTGAAAAAATTTAAATAAAGTTAGTATATTGCTTTAACAGCTAAGGACCATAAAGTTTTTCAAATGGATTTTAAACTGTTGTTTAAAAACCTTTAAAATATAAAGTAAAATTTCCTATAAAATATTTAATTTTCTTAGACTTTTTTGATTTTACCAACCTTATCACGTATATCTTGTCGCATCTTTTCACGCTCCTCTTCCATACGACGATGCTTCTCCTTGCGTCGTTCTTCGGCCTCACGGATGGCCTCCTGACGCTCTCTCTCCTCCTCCTCTGCCTTTTCCTTATCATCGGCATCATCACCGCCATCACCACCTACGGCGCCTGTTAAAATACAAAAAAAGAAATGTTATTAGTAAAAGGTTTAAGAAATATTTTGAATTATAAATCAATTTATAAACTAAAGCCAAAAAGTATACACCAGTTAAGATTACTGCGTTTAAATGCCTTAAGTTATACAAATTTAAGTACACTTTACAACTGGATTAGCATTGTCTGGAATGTAAAGTCTATAAAATTCAAGAGTAAAGTTTTAAATATAAAAATGTATATTAAAGTTTCCAATTATATCAATGAAATTTTATTTAACAAACGCCTAAAGTTAGACAATATTGTTGTTAAATCTCGTAATATATATGTGGATGCATTCATGCTGTACTTAGTCTGTGTTAACAGTTTTAAAGAGTTGTAAAATCTATTCATTAAATATTTATATTTTTTGCGCCTAAAAGCAGATTTATAGTTTGTATTATTAAATTTATTTAAAACACACATATTTAATCATAAATTTTGTTATTTGTGGTTGGTTTTTTTTTGTTAAACTATTATTACAATTATTATGTGGTTAAATGTGATTAGAGTACCAAATGCTATTGTGGTTTCAATTAATTTAAATATAATGCCGAAAAATATTTTGTAAAATTTATTCATTTATCCACATCACATGACTTATATGTAGCTTAAATATGTTTGTAAGTTTAAGTAGATAAATATTTAGTTTTATTTAGAAAATCTAGGCTTTTATATTAATTGGAATATTTATAAAATTTTAAATTTGCAACAGTTTTAAATTAGCCATAAAGTATGTTACAGTTTTGTGGGAGAGTTAATGATTATATTACAAACACTGATTTAGAATATAAAATTGTATTTATTTCAAAAAATAAATTAAACAAACTATTTTTGCCCAAGGAACTACTTTAAACCAATATTATATATACTGAGTTATTCAATCCAGCTAGTGCTAATTCCCACTGCAGTTTTTAAATTAAATACTATAGCCTATTTATAGGCAAAATTTCTATTTCATGCTTTTATTCAAAGAATATTACAATAATATTATTATTGTTTTAATGAAGATTTATGAAGCCAGATTTCTTAGCAACCCAAACTTTCAGAATTTTCCCAAAAGTTTATGGAAAAAAGTATTGCTATAAGCAAAAGGTTAAATATTTCCAACCATTAAATTCAATTAGGAAATGGAAATTGGCAAAAACTTTTATAATTAAGTCAATTAGCTACACTTGAAGTCATGCTTTTTTACTTCCTGATTGTTTTGTATTTTGTTGTTTTTGTTATGGGGTAAAATTAGAAAGTGTAATAAACATAAGTTTTTATTGACTCTCGACTATTTCCTAAGTTAGATGACATTTTGCCTTAGAAACAGAGTTGTTACTTAATAAAAAATTCTAATAATATTTTGTCATGTTGCTGGGAAGTCACAAAAGCTTTTGTATTGCAAATGAATAAATTTAATTTAATTATATTTGGGCAACAAAAGTCGCTAAAGACTATAAAAATCTAATTAGAAAATAAATATTAGAAATTCCATAAAATCAGACTTTTTTTTAATAACAAAAGAAATCAAGTGGGGAAAATAGCTGTGAAACATTTTTTTTAACAGAGTAAATAAACATAAAATTATATGAGGCCATTAGTTTAATGTAAAAAGTTTATTAAAAACATAAAGTAGACTTTTAGGCAGGTGGTTGAAAGTAAATAATTGTTTTTTTATAAAATTTGTTTAAAATATAAAAATAAAAGTAAATTATATACTTAATAAAATTAAGCCATTAAGAAATTAAATAAGAATTATATAAATTAATATTAAGTAAGTTAAGTATTTGCCTACTTTCGAACTGCATTGAATAAAAAGGCTATAGTCGATTTATAAAGTTTACTAAAGTTTCATTAATTTTTTAACAAAAACTTAGCATACTTTAAAAGGACCACAAATACTTTTTCAAAATATGTTCTTTAATCTAAAAGTTGTAATTTAAAAGCATTGTAAAAGAATTTATGAAAACCAACTATTACTTGTCAAAAAAATTCAACTTATTTTTTCACTTTTTTATACCTTTATACCTGCCATTAGAAAAATTAAAGTCATATTTTTCTGCCTGACTCTCAAATAAAATTTTTGAATTTATTCAAAAGGAAAACATGCCAAAAGTCCTTGTAGACCATGTGAAAAAAAAAATAAATTTCTAAAATAAACTAGGTTGACATATTAAGATGTGTTGCCAACATTAAAAGCCATTAGAAATGAGAAAAATAAAAGGCTTTTTTACAAGTGGCAGTTTCTTTACTGCCTTTAGAGTCTAGAGAAATGTTAAATAAAATGAACTTAACGCATGAGTTCATTTAAAATTATATACGTTTATATTTAAAAAATAAATTACTTAAAATTGTTATGACAAATGTTAAGATAACTGCTTAATATTTAAAAGTAGAAAACATTTAGTAAAAATACTTTTTAAAGTTGTTGTATTTAATTTTGTTTTGTGTTTTTATTTTCTTAATATTAGGTTTATGCATTTTTTGTTGTTATCTCTACAATTAATTAGTTTATTATATAAATATTTATATTCGTTTGCCATTGGCGATAATTATATAGTGTATGAGAAGAAACTGTAAATCTGTAAATTCTTATCAGCATTTTAGTATGTTTGTAAATATTTCAAATTAGCATCTGTCATAAATTTACTCTGATTACAACTAATTATAATTTATGTCTAGTAATTACATGTTTAAATGTCTACAAACATGTCGGCAGATAAAGTCAATAAGCTGACCAGATTTATTTGAAATCTTAAAATATTGTAACTTTTTCTTCTCGACTTATTTTGTTTTTTTGTATACCCTACACCACTATAGTGGGGAGGGTATAATGTGGTTGTGCTGATGTTTGTAACACCCAAAAATATTGGTCCTACACCTTAAAGTATACCAATCGGCTCAGAATCACTTTCGAAGTCGATTAAGCTATGTCCATCTATCCGTCCGTCCGTCCGTCCGTCTGTGTGTCCATGTAAACCTTGTAAGCGCGCTATAGGTCGCAATTTTCAAGATAATTTGATGAAATATGGCACGTACACCTCTTTTGGTCCAAGAAAATGGTTGAAATCGGTTCATTATTTTGCCTAGCCCCCAAATTAGGCTTTTAAGCTTATAATAATGTTAAATATTGTAAAATCTCTACAAGAATAGGCAAAATTTAGTTTTATATAAGTTCCCTTCAGAAAATGACTTGAAGGTGGAAATCCACCTTTAAACACTACTATCATATTGAAATTCTGCATAAATAACTTTAAAGTCATCGTAAATCGCGCTACCAAATTGTTATCACTTACCTAACAACATACTTTTCAATGACTACTACATATGGTCTGGACTACATAGAAGTAGTATAGTAAGGTCTTACTAATAATGTGTTATATAAATACTTTCTAATTCATTAGTCATCTTGCCAGTGAAGATACAGAAGCTGTACACGTTTCTTCATGTAATATACAATGACTACTTTTTCTAATTACTTGTAATCGTTTGTAGTAAGTACTTGCCTTCAATGACATCACCGTGTTTAAATAATGACTTAAAATGCTATTGTGTAAGTAAATTTTAGAATTTTAACTTCTTACATGGTAATGAAAGTTTTTACTGGGTCCATATAACCCCTCTTTCAGAAAATCACTTTTTTTTGGTAACAAATTGTTAAAATATTTCGGAATTAAGGAAAAATGCTTTATTATTAGAAAAATAATCCACATTTTAACTAGGGTAGGGTATCATATGGTCGGCCTTGCCAGACTATACAATCTTACTTGTTAAAATTGTAAGAGATTTTTAGGCGACCTAGAAATATACACAAATTTGTTTCATAATCTTGTGAGAAGTTGGTTCTGAAAAGAATCGCACTTTTAAGATTTTTTTCTAAAGTAACAAAATCTTGTTTTCGTTGTCTCAAAATTGTTTGATTTTTGGAGTTTTATAGTTTATATATTAGAGCGAGTCTCTCTAAGGCGACCTGATAACATCTGGTCTCTTTATATTCTTATCTTTTGTTAAGAGTCAATTTGAAATCTATAAAAATAGGTCAAGATCACAAATTCTTTATTTTTATTTAAAATTATATTTATAAATTTCCTAATCAGGTCTACACATGTATGTATATGTCAATTAAATAAATAAATCACAATATTCGGGAAAACAAGATTAAAAAATTAATAGAAATTGAACAGCTTCGAATACGATATTTTACTAAAATATATTATATAAGTTTGTTTTCTTTTTTAAAACATCTAATAATTCAATTTTGAGTTTGATATCATATAAAAATATTTCATTTAATTCTCTTCAATTTAACAATATTGACCTTAACCCTTGCTTATCTCCAGCATATATGAACAAGCTTTGCTTAATATACACATGAACATATTTTTTTTTTATTTTTTATTGTTGTTGCTGCAGTTGTTGTGATTGTTAAATAAAACAATCCACAAAACAACATGGTTTTTAAATTGAAATTCTCTGTGGCAGTTTAGATTAAGCATTAGTATGAGATTAAAGCAAAATCTTAATACACAAAATAAACGGAAAAAAACTCATTTGAATTTCAATAAAAAAATTACAAGAAATAAAACATTAAAAAGAAATGTATGAGAATATTTCAACAATAAGATATAAGAAAGAAGAAATTAAATGAAATGAAGGTGGAATTGTAGCAAAAAATTGTAGAAATATAAAACAAACCAGTTAAAAGGGTTCTTTCTTGTAACAAAATTTAATTAAATGCAAGGTTGGAAACCGGAAGTGTAAAAAAATAATAGAAAAAAATACCAGAGAAATTACACCAATACATAAAAAGTACAACTACAAGAAAAAAATTGTTTAAATTGAAATTTAACACAACAAAGGGCAAACAGTAGACACGCATATAAAAAAGCTTTGCTACAAGTGCATGAATGTTAAAGAGTGGAAGAGAGCGTGTGAGAGGAGAAAATAAAAAAATATTTCAAAAAGGGTTGCATTTCCAATTTCCATAGAAATATTTTTGTTAGTTGTAGTTTTGTTACAAAAGTGTTAAGTTATGCTGGAATATATTAAAATTTGTTGTTTAATTTGAAGCACTTTTTTTTGTTGAACATTATTAAAAACCTGTTTGTTATTGTGAAACGGCGGTGTCACTTTATTAAAACTCTTTTGTACAGAAACCTTTATTAAAAAGTTTCTTTGTGAAATACACAAAATATAAATAAAAATACCACAAAATTGTGTGACTTTTACTTTGAAGTTTTATTAAAATTGCTGACAACAACTATCCCAATAAAGTAAAGAGACTTTATTAACACTAACAGTTTTTTATATATATATTGTTGGTGTGTAAATAATGACAACAATGTCATCCTTTGTTTTACTGATTGCTAGTGTGCTCTTAGCCAACTGCTGTTTGGCTTCAACATTCGATAAAGTCGCCATCGAACATGACATGTTAAGATTTTCCTATGAACTCGAATCCTGGCTGGATGTAACAAAAAAACCCTGTGATGATTTCTATGGTTATGTTTGTTCACGTTCTTTAAATGCCACCCACCAGGCCAAATATGACCGCCTGCAACAGCAAGAGGAATTGAAATTTAATAAATTTTTAGAAAGCAGCAATGATGAGGAACTCTTGGATTCTGAACTAAAACTGAAGCATTTCTATGATTCCTGTCAAAATGCCCGCTCTATGGAACAATTAAAAGCCACCCTTATGTATCGTTCTGTGGGTGGCTGGCCAGCAATTGATGATTCTGTAACCATGTTGCGCAAAAGACGTAATATGACCTGGTTGCAGGTTTTAAGTATATTCCATGAAACTGGTATACCCTACTTTTTTAATACCAAAATCGAATTAATTTCCAACAAACGGGTGGTACAAATACAACCCGATGATTCGCTACGTTTTACATTGAGAAAGTTTGAACAGCTATCGGTAGAGATTATGCATTTGTGTAATGTTGATACCGGTCGTGCCAGATTGGTGGCTTTGGAGATTTTAAATTTTGAACGTAATTCAAGGGATATAATGAAGATAACGGTTAGTGAGCAGGATAAAGTAAGAGAGTATTCGTATGCTGATTTTAAATTGTTAAGTTTTGGTTCAGTTTATCCTTTGGATTGGGATGCCTACTTCCGTAAAGTTATGGGTAAACCTTTGAAGCCAACTGATTTGGTTATTATTACGGATATGCCCAAACTTATACAATACTTTGAGTTGTTGCAGGGCACCACGTTAACGAGATTTTTGAATTGGCTGTGGATTGACTACTTAATGGGTGAGTAAATATTTTTGATGAAATTTCAAATAATGAAATAAATATGTTGTTCATTATTATTAAAAATTACTGGATACACTTTATGAATATACATAAAAATTTTCAATAACTCAATGTTTAACACAATTTTAAATTATTTTTTATATCTAATCTCAGACAAAACTCCGGGAGATTGCAAAACACTCGTTGAAACTTATATGGCGCCTGTATACCAACATATTGTCGAACGTACCGGTATAGATAAAGTACAAATGGCTCGTATGTATTCTGAACTGGGGCAGCAATATGAACAACTTTTGGCCAATACAGCCTGGATAGATGAGATTACACAACAAAACTCCAAACTGTTTCTGGAACGCATAATGCATTTAACTTTAAATGGTGATGCAAAACTTGATAATGATTATCAGCCTTTAACCATAACGAAACGTAATTTCTACCGTAACCTAGAAAAGGTGCAAAGATTTAAGGCCCAACAAATGAAAATAGATAGTAAGCCACAAAACTCCAACAGTGCCGGACAAGTGGCCCAAAGTGCCAAAGAATTTATGAAAGTATTTTTAACCATTAATGGTCTAATACAACAGCAACAAAATTTAACTACTCCCCTAAATTATGTTCTATTGGGAGAATATTTCTCTGAGGTAATGATAGGGGGAGTTTATGACACCCCTGGAGCCTGGAGAAGTACTGATTCAGATAGAAAATTTGATGTATTCGATAGATGTATACAAAGACAACAACCGCTGCAGGCTAGAAATTTTAATTTAAATAATTTACTACTGAAAATATTGTCTCAAAAACAATCTTGGCAAACATATCAATTATGGCTACAGCAGGATGAGCAATTTGTGCAAAAATTAAATAATCTCTTAAAAGCTGGACGTTTGCAATTATCCATGGAAAAGTTATATTTCATTGCCACTACTTTAGTGGACTGTCATTTGCATCCCAACGAACAAAGAAGACAATTTATACACACGGCACTTAAACAAACTAAAGAATTTCAACAAACTTTTAAATGTCAAACACGTGATACGCTCTATAACAATAATAAATGTTTGGTTTTGAAGGAATATTAATAATATTAAGTTGTTTTTAGAGATTTTGAGAAATATTTAAGAAAATAAATTTACGATTTTAAACTAAAACAAAACACACACACGCACTGTTTCCCTTAATATTTGTTTTACCTTTCATTTTTTTACTTATTTCTGTAAAAAATTCGGTAATTTTGCTGAGAAATTTTTCAAACTTGTTGGGAGTTAAAAAATAATAACTACAATATTTACGTTATAACAGTGTTATTGCTTATAAATTCGAATTGAAAATAACTTGTTAAAATTCTGTATAATCCTTTTTAACTTATGGGACTCAAAAACATTTTTTATTACCGTTATTATATATTTTTAGAAAAGATAAAAAAAATTCTTTCATTAAAAATTTATTAAGAATTTGAAATTGTTGTTATTGAAGACATGTACGTCTTGGTTTCAGGGCAAAATGTAAATATCAACCATCAACTACCACTCCTAGTTTTAACAATTTAACGAGGGTCAATAAAGAAAATAATTAAAGAAAATTCTTTTAGTTTTTGTTTTTTTTTTGTTAATAATATTTACCCTACTTATTACAAAATGACTTAACAAGGGTAATATTTAAGTAAGAATTATATACATAGATATAAATGGGAAAACATTTTATAAGTTTTACAACCTAGTGACAATTTGGAACTCGCTAGTCTTTTATTAGGTTAAAACGATTTATTTCTTTTATTTAAGCTTGTAGAACTAGAATTAGTTTCAAAGTCCAAGTTCCAATTCAGGGGAATATGTTTTTTTAACTTCTTTCTAGAAATCTAAATGTTTACATGATTTTGAAATTGTGTAAAGAAAGTTTCATTAATTTCACCGAGAGTGTTATGTCTTCGATTTTTAACTTCTAACTCTAAATTTATTTGATTAGCAGTAGGGTATTCTAAAAGTTTTCATGATTTATATAAAACTATGTTGTTTCCAAATTGATTTTATTGTTTGATTTTGTATTGTTGCCTTTTTTTTATTATTATTGTATTGGTTTGTAGTTGACCAGCCAGTTACCAAGGTAACATTAACTAGGGAATGATGGCTAGACAAGATATCAAACCTATCAATAGACAAGAAACCATACAAAAAATTCATTACTTTCTTTACACTCAAATAAATATGATTTCAAAGCAGTTTAGTTGAAAGAAAACGCATGTGTTTAACTTGGCTAACAGTCTCCCAACCCTATAAGTATGCTTTGCTTTTTTCTATTTTTATTTACAAAGTGCAAAAGTACTTTTAAACATTTGAGGACATATACAATAGCTATTTTTGTACTTTAGATATAGTTTGATAACTTATCGATTAGTTAATTTTCTTTCTGTAGTTGCAATGATAATAAACGTTTTAGTAATTAAGGGAATGTAAGCCCCGATGGACTTTATTGTTTATATAAAATATTAGCAGTTTTTTTAAAGCGGTAGACTTTTATAAAACTATTGCATAATAAATGAGTTATTTAAATTATTATTTTAGTAAAATTATAAAGAAATGGATAAGTATTAAATACATTTTTAGTTAAATAGAAATCTGAAACTAAAAATTAATATAATAAAATTTAGGAACAATATATGGACCTAAATGTGGCCAATTTTTGTGCGTTTTTTCGTCTTTGTGTAAAGACAGATAGACCTCTAACCCAGGAAATACTTAAGTGTAAAAACAATAAGTATTTGTATTTGTTACAAACATCAGCACAAATGCTCAATACCCGTTCAAATATAGTGGTATAGCTTATAAAAAATAATTAAATATCACAATCTTCCTTAAATGTTACTTAATTCAAATTCGATGGCATTCTAAATTAACTTTAAATTACTTTTCTTTGAAATTTTTAAAATTTCATTATATTCTTCATTACGAGCGTATTAAGTTGTCAGTTAACTGTCATTACTATATAAAAAGAAAATAATGTATACACTAATTGGCAAAAATTTCATTCATTATACTCATTATTATGAATAACGTACTTGTGCATTTATATTGGAGTATATTAGTTAAAGAGAAACAAGTAATAATGTACAGTCGGACATGGCCATCAGTATGATACCCTACACTAGTGCATATGTTAAAGATATGGATTATTTTTGATATATTAAATAATTTTAGTTTTTTACCTTAACTTCGAAATATTTTAACAATTTATTGAAAAAAAAAGAGATTTTCCAAAAGAGGAGTTATTTGCAAGGGCAAGAGCAAATATGGTCCAATCCTTATGCATTTTGGTTTATAAAGTTATTTATGAAGAATTTTATCGAGTTACTAGTGTTTATAACTGAATTTTAATCTTCAAGTGATTTTCCGAAGAGGACTTTGTATAGGGGATAGGGTCAAATATGGACCGATCATTACGAAAGTATAATTTAGACGTATATAAAAAATTATGAGATCAAAAGCTCTATTCGGGGGGTACGTTTGTATGGGAGCTATACGAAATTTTAATAGGCTCGTACCTGGGTCGAAAAAAGATTATGTGACAAATTTCATCAAATTATCTCGAAAATTGCGACCTGTAGCGAGCGCACAAAGTTCACATGGACACACAGTCGGATAGACATACAGACAGACGGACAGGCAGACGGACGGACATAGCTCAGTCGACTCAGAAAGTGATTCTTTGGGTGTTACAAACATCAGCACAAACGCATAATACCCTTCCCACTATAATGGTGTAGGGTATAAAAATATACATTGAGTAAAAAAATAAAACCATAATCGTCCTGTCAAATACTTATGAAACTTTTTTATATCAAAGAAAGTGATTTTTTTATGAAAAAACAAAAATTTTTTAAAAATGTATAAATTATTTTTTGACATATTTTTGATGGTGAGAATTTTGCTATAAAAATGCAAATATCGAATCAAATATATAATATTCTTAAATTCAATCAATTATAAAAACTTCTCCTTAAAAATTTACAAAATCTTATATAACATATAAATTACAAATTGAACAAATAAGAGGTATAATTGGAAAAATAGATTTATTCTAAGAAATTTTTATAAGGAAATTGATTTCAATTTAGAATAACAAGATTTCCAAGAAATAATAGAAATGTTCTTTAATATACATAGTTATGTATCTAAGTATATTTTACTTGGTGTCAACTATGTTAAGAAATAACAAAAACTTCTTTAAGACTTTGTTAGTACATAAGATTGTAATTTTTTCTTATTTACTACAAACGTCTGTTCATTTTCTAATCTTTAACGTTATTGTCAGCTTAATTTCCTGTTGTCTTTTTTATTATTTTCTCTGTATTTTTCTTTGTTTTTTTTTTAGTTTTTCCTGCAGCATCAGCCATAAATGATCAACATGCAAACTTGTTCAAATGAAAACAGGAATCATCGTAATTCAAGCATGTAATTTGTTGATATTTTTTTATTTTCTATTTTATGTTTTTTATTGTGGTTTTTAATATAGTTTGTTTACCAGGAATAAATATTATTATTAAAGATAAACTTCTTACAAGACAATACAATGCAGAATTGCAAAAATTGTTTATAAACAAACGTTGTAGATGTATGTATTTCTTGGTATAGTCTTATTGTTGACATTAAAATTTAAGATTATTTAAGTAAATTTGTGAAAACATCAATTGGAAAATTATTTTAAAAATAAATTTTAAAGCAAGAAATACAGATGAAAAATTGTTTATAGGAAATTTTTAAAATAACAATTGTTCACACTATGTAAACAATGTATAGAATTAATTTAATAAAATTATATCATAAAATTTTATAAATACTACAATTGAAATGTATTTAAAATAATATTAAAATTTATAAACATACAACAAAACATTTAAAAGGCTTAATAATTATAAGCCAATTAGAGCCTATAAAAATGTGTTTTTCATTTAAAACTCATTGTCATTTATTCTTCCCATTTTAAATGCATATAAATCTAAAACATCAGCTGCAATTAAATTCTAAAAATCCTTGATTTTCAACTAAATCCTTAATTTCAATAATGTTTTATTTTATTTATTTTGTTTTAATAAAAGTTTACTAACAGTAGCAAACTATTGTCAACATGTAATAAACTAATAAAAAAAAAACTAAAATCTCCTTAATGTATTTCAATCTATTCAAATCAAATGACAGCTGTTTAAAATGCTAAACAAAAACTATTGGTTGAAATGTAAAAAGCAAAAAACTATGAATTGTTTTAATAAACTCTGTTAACTATGAAACTTTTTTTATTATTATTCTAAGCCAAATATATTTCACAATATGCAGCTGTTTCATTTATTGGGTTAGAATACTAAATGGATGATGGTTTGATGACTCGAATTGTTATCGATAAAGTAGTGTAAAAAAGTTTGTTGTTGATGATGGCTTTTAACTTTATGTTTTTTATAGTTAGCTTTATTTTTTTCGGATATATTGGCAGAATGTTTAATAAAACATTTTAAATATGTTTTTTTTTTGTAGAGAAAAACAAGTAAATCGAATATTTTTATATTGTATTGGAAGTTATTTTACCCCCCTTTTGTGTTTTAAGTTTCAAGTATTTTTTCGACGCTGTCAATGTATGTATTGATTTCAAAAAATTGCTTAAAGCTATTTGTAAATGATGTAAAGTGTTAACTGAAAGTCATATTTGATTGACATACAAAACAAGAACAAGTTGTTCATAAACATACATACGAACATACTTGTATACATGGAAAAATATGTAGGATAGCTGAAGTATCCTTTATTATTTCATACATGTCTATACCAACATACATACATAAGTAGTGTTTGCAAAAAAACTACTATAGTAATAGTTTTGCACAATACAGAAGTAGTTTAACCCTGCAGTACGGTGTGTATTAATGCCATGAATACCGCAAATGTTCGTGAAACATACAACCAAAATATTGTCTAACAAGAATACATACAACTCTTTAAAAATAGTTGGGTTTTAGTAGTGGCAAGTAATAGTTGAATGCTTTTACTAACCATCATCATTGGCGTCATTTGCATGCATGAAACGTGTCAACAATTTTGTTTAACAAAATATATTCTCTTACAAAACCATCTACCCTACACTATACAAACTCAACACAATTGTGTACTTATACAAA